GTGAACTAAGAAAACGCTTATCTCCCTGAGCCTGGCCTTCATAATTCCATTCCATCACATATGGTGACATTTTAATCCAGCCTGATATGTCCTGTACTCTTGATCTAAATATAGTTTATTTGGAAATACTTTTGTTTTGCTTTGCTTATGTCAGATTTCTCTTGTGATAACCTGGACTGGAAACAGTTAATTCCATGACCAATTCTCTCAGAGCTCTTATTAAAAGGAAAGTTGAAATAGCAGCAATGCTGGCAAGTACTCTTAATTTCAGATGAGAAATCTGTATATAGGCAAATTAGGACAGGGCGTTTCTGCTTTCTGTTTAAAATGGAAGAAATTTGTCTCTTGTGAATGAGAAGGAGAGTGCATCTGTCGATTGTTTTGGAAAGGATACTGAATTTCTTATCAGTCTTACAATTTGTTGCCATTTCATTGGAAAGGTTGCTAGTGGCTGAGAAAATATGTTTACTCACAAGTGGTGCAGCAACTAGAAAAATCCTATTGAAAATTATTCTGATTTGAAGATTGCATGATGGCTTGAGAGAGTTATGGAGAAACATAGAAAGGTAAAGGAGACTCTGTTTTGGTCCACTAAATTGATACTCATAAAGAACTTACAAAAGAAAATAGTAATTGTTTGACCACTCTTTGCAAATTTTGCGTTTTATCACTAAACAAAAAATAACTTAGTGTGGATACCAGGCAAGGGAAGCGATGAGTGAACAGGAGAAATTTCCTTGAAGTCTTGCAACCAGTTGTAGTTCATGACCGCAGAATTCATTCTAAACTATGGAGTCTGTGGAGTTCTCTGAGCTTGGCTGTTTTCTTGCAAACGTTTCATTATCCGGCTAGGTAACATCTTCGGTGCTAGAATGGGATGGGGTTTGCTCTCTGTTTATATACTGTGGCAAGCCCTGCCAGTGTTGGTGGGGAGGTGTAACGGATGGCATGAGCGGGGAAGATTCTGGAATGGAACTTCAAAGTTGTCGGGGGGGGGGAGACATTCCAGGGCAAGCGCCTCCTCAGCCCACAACAAGAGTGTGGGAAGACGAAGAGGATGAGGCTGTCCCTTCCCTAGAGTCTCACAGGTTATAGCCACTAGTTGCTTTAGCGTAGGTTGAGTCTGGCGAGATTTTGT